GACAGGTATTACAAAGTGCGACGATTATTACAAAGTGCGACAGTACAGACAGTACTCAGTTAAAAACCAATTGCCATCGGAGAAGGAAGAGAATCTCTGGAGAATACTCGGTAAGTCTCGTAAAGAATTATTTCCAGCGTCAGTCTCTTCTTGCAGAGTTCCTCAAAAGTTCTACACAGCTGCTAAAACTTAAGACGGTATAAAACGTTTCATTTAATGGCGGAAGCTGAAGGTTAGTCTCATTCGAAAACGGATGATTCCTCCAAAGCAATGAAGTTCCTTTGCATTTTTATACTTTAAACTGAACACTGATCAGGGTCCTTGGCAAAAGATGGTAAGTGCTAAAGGCGTGCATTTGACACTTGTTAATTGCGTCTTCAACGCTTTCTTGTGTTTAACAACCATCGTGTTAAATATCATAACAATACAAGCGCTCAGAAAAACGTCGTCGTCGCCTAAGACTTTAAAAACATTGCTTCTAAGCCTGGCTGTGTCTGATCTGGGTGTTGGCTTACTAGTCCAACTACTGTACGTTGCAATTCTTGTGATGAACATAGAAGAGAACTCTAACAACACTGCTTATTATTCAGTATACAAAGCGTATTTAATCTAGAAAAAAGTATTGGTCTTCTCTTCGCATCTTGATGTTTTTGCATGAACGTTTGAGTTTGACTGTGTATTTACGATTCACTGCAAACCATCTGCTGTTTCTACTTTAATATATTGCGTCAGCAGTTTCAAATAACTTTCTACCATTTGACTGACAAACTTCAACTCTTACAAAGCTCGACTTATCGCGTTTCGGTTAAAAAGAAAATGAACTCAAATTTCTGTGGCAAAACTAGTCAATGAAAAAATGTCATGATAAATGGTTTCTTTTTTAAATATAATTATTAAGGAATAATACAAGAATATTTTCAGCCTAAAATAGGCAGAAAAAAAAAGCAATATTCAGCCTGGGCCAGGAAAACAACATTCTTATAAAAAAGAAATAGGGTGTATCAAACTGAAAAAACTGGAGCTAATAAGACTTACCTCTTATTAGCCGCCTTAAAGTTAATAAAGGATAGTGTATTGTTTTTGAATACATTTTCATAGTTTCCAAGTTGATTGAAGTTTCAGGCCCATTTTGATTTTTGCAGCATGATTACTCATCGAACTGTCGCTTCATGATACGTAAATATTCCGATCATTTGCGATTAAACTTTGACACATATTAAGGACCGGATGATCTATTAAGTAACTAGGCTACTGTGTCTTTGTTTTCAGCGCGCCATAAGTTTTTGTTATGGTTAAGAGTTTTTTCTCTCTTCATCTCCTCACACTCTTTGGGTCGCGCGTGACCATGTAGTTTATCATTGAAAAAATGTGTGCATGAGTCCAGGAAATACATTGGATTGGTTTGCGACTCAAAAATCTGTTTTCTCCTCAAGTATCGCTAACTCTTACTGTTTAACTGTGTATTTTGCAATTCATGGCAAACCAACTGCCTTTGCCATTTTAATAATGCGTCAGTAGTTTCAACCAACTTTCTTCCATTTGACTGACGAACAAAGCTCTACCTATCGCATTTCAGTACAGTTAAAATGAAAATATATATTCAAATTGCTCTATGATGATGAGGACGTCACATTTAAATTTTAAATTCCTGGTTCAGACAAGCACAGTTTTAATTTCAATTAAGGCCAGTTTGTATATTATAAGTAGGAGTTAGGGACTTTTTTTACTATTGTCGCGCAAGACTCAACAGTACTCAGTTAAAAACCAATAGGCCACTTGCACTAAGGGGTCACGTGATCAATACTTCCCTTAAACAATTAGTTGGAATCCTGCTGATGCCAAAAATTGACAGAGGACATAAAAATTATCTTACACCCGAAATTTGAGAGGAAAAGCATTTAAGGGAGATATTTGATGGCACTTTGATTTTTCAACAAAGTAGTATGATTTCTATTGGCCGCCATGTTGGAGGGCATACTCTTGCCCTCCAACATGGCGGCCAAACTAGTTTTTGCTTACATCTTGTTAAACTTTTGATAGTTATGCTCAGATGTGCTGCAAACGTTACCCCATCATTTTTTCAACATTTGCCTTGAAGTTTAAGTGCAAAATTTGTGTTCAGAAAGCAGTAATTCGTAATTTTCAAAATCACATTTTGGTCACGTGACCAGCTACAGACTTACTCATGATCACTTTAAGACAACGGTGCAGGTTTGAAAAACCAAATCACTTTTATTTTGTTGAGGATATGACCCACTAATCATTTTTTGAAGGCTAAATCATATAACTTTCATTTTCATGAAAACGATGTCACATGACCTCTTAGTGCAAATGGCCTATTGCCTTCGGAGGAGGAAGAGAATCTCTGGAGAATATTTGGTAAGTCTCGTAAAGAATTATTTCCAGCATCAATCTCTTTTTGCAGAGTTCCTCAAAAGTTCTACACAGCTGCTAAAACTTAAGACTGTATAAAACTTTGCATTCCTACGGCAGAAGCTGAAGGTCAGTCTCGTTCGAAAACGGATGAATCCTCCAAAGCAATGAAGTTCCTCGCACAGATTTTACTTAAACTTAACGGACATCGATCGTAGCACTTATTGGAGGAAAAACAGGAGGAAAAAGCCCCCGCGAACGATTTTGGAAGAAAAGTTCCCAGTGCCGAAAAATACAGCTGCAAATAAAGTAGCTAATGGCGTCATTTTGTTGCTATAACAACTCCGATGTCATTGTAATCCAGATCATGACAAATTTTCAACTTTCAACACTTGCAAAGCTCGGCCATTCGCGTTTCGTTTAAAATGAAAATGAATCCAGATTTTGGTGTAATGATGTTGTCATATTTAAATTCTTTTTATTTCAAATAAGTGGATATTTCGGATGTTATGAGTATGGGATACTGGGAACTTCTTGCGATTGTAAACTTTATTGACTCACTAAATTTCAGTCTCATCCATAAAAGAAAACACTCGCAGAGCTCTTCAAAAGTTATACAGCTACAGACTGTAGCGTACCTGTACACGTAGGCAGCAACGTGCGTTTGCTGGTACCGTCGGAGTCAAGCCATTCCGTTCACCAAAAATATTTGTTCATGACTGTGTGTCAGGAATGGTGTATTTGACTATTAAAAGGACAAAAAACATTAATTGTAGTTAATTTTTTTGTGACTTCTGAGCAACGGAGGAGGCGATGTTTTAACAAACACAGCTCTTAAAGGTCACTCAAGTCAAGTCAACTTTATTCCCTCAGGCAGGGCAGCCCTATCAGCCATTGGCCGGTATCAAAAAGGGGCCCCCTACAGTCGTCGTGGAGGATTATATCGGGTTTTTATTGTCGGCGGGTCTAAGCTTTTTGCCATAGATTTTTGCAAAAAATACTACATAATAAATGAATAAATGAATAAATAAATAACAAGAAACCTCGCCCAAAATAAAAAAATAAAATTAAAGAATCTATGTTTTTAAATTAGGATTATATCGGGTTTTTATTGTCGGCGGGTCTAAGCTTTTTGCCACAGATTTTTACAAAAAATACTACATAATAAATAAGTAAATAACAAAAACCCTCGCCCAAAATATAAAATAAAAGAATCTATGTTTCCGCGATTCCTAAAAACACCTGTTTGGGCTCAATAAATTTGAATTGGACTTGATGTCAATATATTTTCATAATGATTCCTTTAATAAGTTTCTTTGTCCGAAATAGTTTGCAACAGTTCTTGTCAGCCACTTTTTAGCTAGAATACTAAATAGGTTCTTTCTATTCATTATATCATTATCACCTTTTTTCTTGCATTTATCATATCCTCAAAAACACCAATTGCGTCAGTATGCGTTACCTTAAGCTTATTAATTGTTAAGCTCGATCTATCTTTCTTATCAAAAGAAAATTTTATTCAAATTTGAATGTGTTATTATGTGGCTACATTAACAAGTTTCAAATTTTTTTTAAGGGAATTCTTAGTGTTCAGACGTCTTGATATTCAACACTGTCTAGTTAGTGGACAATTTCAAGATTACCAAAGTACGGAAAAGGACAAGCTAGGTCGCTTAGCCATGCGATAATTTAAGGAAGAATGTGAACCACATTCTGAACTATTGGAGACCGATCAGGTAACTTACCAAAGGCAAGAGCGTCTGCCTGTCAAAAGACGTCAACAGTTCTTTAAAGGAACAGTCTCTACAATAGCAGAAGAAGCTAAAGACGCGTTTTGAACATCCTACAGAATGGCAGGAACTGGAGACTTTTATTCAACGTTCGTCGCCAACTGCTTCTTCAACGTTTTCTTGCTTTTCACAGCCTTGGTTTTAAACATCATAACAATACAAGCCCTAAGAAAAATATCATGGTTTCCAAAGCCTTTAAAAACATTACTCCTAAGTCTCGCTATTTCTGATCTTGGTGTTGGTTTGCTTGTCCATCCTGTCTATATTGCAGGTCTTATAATAAACATAGAACAGAGCGCTAACAAAAGACTCCTTTATACGGTATACACAGCGCAGCGCCTTTTTGGCTATTTACTGTGTGCTGCTTCACTCTTGGGCATCACTGCTTTAACTGTCGACAGATTCTTAGCTATTCATCTTCATCTCAGATACCAGGAACTTGTGACTCACAAGCGTGTTGTCGCTGTAGTAATTTCAGTTTGGGTGTAGTGTTCATGTTTTTCCTTATTTGCGTTGAACAGGGTTTTAGAAAACGTTCTGTCCATTATAATTGTAACTATTGGGGCAGTTTGTCTCACTACTACGGGATTAATTTACTGCAAGATATATTCAATCGTACGTCACCACACAAATCAGATTCACGCCCTGCAATTGCAACTCGTAACACAGAATCAGGATGGAGAATTGGCAAATGCCGCAAGACTGAAAAAAACTGCACTTGCTACATTTTACGTGTATGTGGTGTTTGTGGTTTGTTTTTTGCCCTTCATATGCGTTAAAGCAGCCTATCTAATTTATGGTGGGTCCGAGTTGTGGTTGCATCTGTTTTATTATTCGATGACACTTGTGTGTCTTAATTCCTCTCTCAATCCCTTGATCTACTGTTGGAAGATGAGACACATTCGACAAACTGTTATGGGCATACTTCGAAATGTCATTGCAATTGGTCCCCACTAAAGAAAGGATCTACTCAGAATAATTTAACCTTTTACTCTCTGGTAAGAATAAAAGCTTTCAAGCAATACAATTGGAAAAAATGACAATAAATATAAACGGGACCTGAAACCTTTGAAAGGCAAAGGGATAAGTATATGATCGAGTATAGGTTCATGAGATTTCGGTTTGCTTTGGAATAACTATAATTACAAATAATACGGAAACTCTGAAATATCATTTATCAAAGTCAGAAAGAAAGAAATGTGTTGAAGACTGGTAAGAATATACCTTTTAATCAGGGTTTTTAATTTGTCGATCCCAAACATGACTAATAAGATCACTGCATTTGAAAGTTTCAGAATGGGATCTGAGAAATAGCTCTCCTGACATCGCAACCGATTGGAACAAATGATCGATAGCTAAATGACATCATAATACTTTAAAATACCATAATAGAACCAGAAAGCCGATATAATATGGTTCCAATATCAAGCAAAGAGCTTCTTGCCCTGAGATTAAAAACTTAGAACCATAATGTTAGACGAAACAATTAAGTATTAAGGCCCAGGGTTGAACAGAAGAACGCAGTTTCGTCATGTCCCAGTTGAACGTCTTGCAAGCAACTCTCGGTACGTGCGTGAGAGTAATTTTTATTTAGAAAGAGCGAGTCCAAAAGAGTAATTATTGTCACCAATGATGTATAACAGAGCAACAGCATTAACAACGTGAAAATGAAAAAAATAAATGACAAAATCGTGTATTTTTCACTATTCTTAAACTAAAATGTGTTTTCTCCTACACATTGTTTTTCCTGTTCGGTGGTTACGAGCGCTCTTTCATAATCATGAAAGTTCCCCCACAATTTCCGTTTTAAGGGAGGGAGGGAAGGAAGAAACACAGATAGTTATTTTTTCACGCTGAAACTGAAGAGTATATTCTTTTCTTGTCTACGCATTCTTTTTCTTGTTTGAAGCTGATTAGGAGCGGTCGTCCATAATCATGACAGTTCTTCAACAATCTCTGGGGGAAACGGTATCCTCTTGTTTTTCTACTACCCATTCACTGAATTGTGAGCAATATTGAACTTTCATTATAATATTAAACTGAAGCCGAAACCGGAGTTAATATGACTTAAGTTTTGGCAGCTGCCTCGGATGAGTTAAATCAACACGAACTATTAGGTTAATAAGGCGTAACAACAACAACAACCATTGTATTCCACAGGAAAAAGTTTACAAATAATAAATTAAAGTAAACTGAAAAAGAAATATTTCACACAACCTGCAGTTAGCTTAAGCTAATCGAGGCAGGAAGTGTTTTCGATACATCTTCAATGAAATGAAATTTGAAACATAACTTCGAAGTCGATTGCAGTTTAGACTACAAGGGATATTTAAAACATGCTGATCATTTGTTTTTAACTGATTAAACTTTCACATACAGAACTGGATGATTTATTAAGTAACTACCTACTGTGTCTGTTTTTTTTTTAAAGGTAATACCGTCTTTTCTCTCATCCTCCGACCCGTCTTAGATCAGTACATGTGCATAATTTTTGCTTGGGTCAAGCAAAAACGTTGGATTATTCTCCAAACTAATGGTCCGCATTTCCTCTAAACCATTGCGAAACTCTTCCTGTTTGACTGTGTATTTACGATTCACTGCAAACCAGCTGCCTTTTCTACTTTAATATTGCATCAGTAGTTTCAAATAACTTTCTACCATTTGACTGACAAACTTCAACTCTTACAAAGCTCGACTTATCGCGTTTCGGTTAAAAAGGAAATGAACTCAAATTTCTGTGGCAAAACTAGTCAATACAAAAATATCGTGATAAATTCTTTCTTTTTTAAAATAGGAAGAAAAAAATAGCAATATTCAGCCTGGGCCAGGAAAACAACATTCTTTTTAAAAAGAAAGAGGGTGTGTCAAACTGAAGAAACTGGAGCTAATAAGACTTACCTCTTATTAGCTGCCTTAAAGTTAATAAAGGATAGTGTATTTTTTTTGAATACATTTTCATACTTTCCAAGTTGATTGAAGTTTAAGGCACATTTTGCTTTTTGCAACATGATTACTCATCGAACTGTGCCGTCATGATACGTAGATATTCCGATCATTTGCTTTTGACACATATTAAGGACCGGATGATCTATTAGGTAACTAGGCTACTGTGTCTTTGTTTTCAGCGCGCCATAAGTTTTTGTTATGGTTTAAGAGTTTTTTCTCTCTTCATCTCCTCACACTCTTTGGGTCGCGCGTGACCATGTAGTTTATCATTGAAAAAATGTGTGCATGAGTCCAGGAAATACATTGCATTGGTTTGCGACTTAAAAGCCTGTTTTCTCCTCAAGTATCGCTAACTCTTACTGTTTAACTGTGTATTTTGCGATTCATAGGAAACCAACTGCCGTTTCCATTTTAATAATGCGTCAGTAGTTTCAAACAACTTTCTTCTATTTAACTGACGAACAAAGCTCGACCTATCGCATTTCATTTAAAATGAAAATATATTCAAATTGCTCTATGATGATGAGGACGTCACATTTAAATTTTAAATTCCAGGTTCAGACAAGCACAGTTTTAATTTCAATTAAGGCCAGTTTGTATATTATAAGTAGGAGTTAGGGAATTTTTTTACTATTGTCGCGGAAGACGCCATAGTACCAAAGTTAAAAACCAATTGCCATCAGAGGAGGAAGAGAATCTCTCGAGAATATTCGGTAAGTCTCGTAAAGAATTATTTCCAGCATCAGTCTCTTCTTGCAGAATTCCTCAAAAGTTCTACACAGCTGCTAAAACTTAAGACTGTATAAAACTTTCCATTCTATCCTCCAAAGCAATGAAGTTCCTCTCACAGATTTTACTTAAACTTAACGGACATCGATCGTAGCACTTATTGGAGGAAAAACCGGAGGAAAAAGCCCCCGTAAACGATTTTGGAAGAAAAGTTCCCAGTGCCGAGAAATACAGCTGCAAGTAAAGTAGCTAATGTCGTCATTTTGTTGCTATGACAACTCCGATGTCATTGTAATCCTCACCATAACAAATTTTCAACTTTCAACACTTACAAAGCTCGGCCATTCGCGTTTCGTTTAAAATGAAAATAAATCTAGGTTTTCGTGTAATGATTTTGTCATATTCAAATTCTTTTTATTTCAAATAAGTGGATATTTCGGATGTTATGAGTATGGGATACTGGGAACTTCTTGCGATTGTAAACTTTATTGACTCACTAAATTTCAGTCTCATCCATAAAAGAAAACACTCGCAGAGCTCTTCAAAAGTTATACAGCTACAGACTGTAGCGTACCTGTACACGTAGGCAGCAACATGCGTTTGCTGGTACCGTCGGAGTCAAGCCATTCCGTTCACCAAAAATATTTGTTCATGACTGTGTGTCAGGAATGGTGTATTTGACTATTAAAAGGACAAAAAACATTGTAGTTAATTTTTTTTGTGACTTCTGAGCAACGGAGGAGGCGATGTTTTAACAAACACAGCTCTTAAAGGTCACTCAAGTCAAGTCAACTTTATTCCCTCAGGCAGGGCAGCCCTATCAGCCATTGGCCGGTATCAAAAAGGGGCCCCCTACAGTCGTCGTGAAGGATTATATCGGGTTTTTATTGTCGGCGGGTCTAAGCTTTTTGCCATAGATTTTTGCAAAAAATACTACATAATAAATGAATAAATGAATAAATAAATAACAAAAAACCTCGCCCAAAATAAAAAAATAAAATTAAAGAATCTATGTTTCCGCGATTCCTAAAAACACCTGTTTGGGCTCAATAAATTTAGATTGGACTTGATGTCAATATATTTGCATAATGATTCCTTTAATAAGTTTCTTTGTCCCAATTAGTTTGCAACAGTTCTTGTCAGCCACTTTTTAGCTAGAATACTAAATAGGTTCTTTCTATTCATTATATCATTATCACCTTTTTTCTTGCATTTATCATATCCTCAAAAACACCAATTGCGTCAGTATGCGTTACCTTAAGGTTATTAATTGTTAAGCTCGATCTGTCATTCTTATCGAAAGAAAATTTTATTCAAATTTGAATGTGTTATTATGTGGCTACATTAACGAGGTTGAAATTTTTTGTTAAGGGCATTCTTAGTGTTCAGACGTCTTGATATTCAACACTGTCTAGTTAGTGGACAATTTCAAGATTACCAAAGTACAGAAGAGGACAAGTTAGGTCGCTTAGCCATGCGATAATTTAAGGAAGAATGTGAACCACATTCTGAACTATTGGAGACCGATCAGGTAACTTACCAAAGGCAAGAGCGTCTGCCTGTCAAAAGACGTCAACAGTTCTTTAAAGGAACAGTCTATACAATGGCAGAAGAAGCTAAAGACGCGTTTTCAACATCCTACAGAATAGCAGGAACTGGAGACTTTTATTCAACGTTCGTCGCCAACTGCTTCTTCAACGTTTTCTTGCTTTTCACAGCCTTGGTTTTAAACATCATAACAATGCGAGCCCTAAGAAAAATATCATCGTTTCCAAAGCCTTTAAAAACATTACTCCTAAGTCTCGCTGTTTCTGATCTTGGTGTTGGTTTGCTTGTCCATCCTGTCTATATTGCAGGTCTTATAATGACAATAGAACAGAGCGCTAACAAAAGACTCCGTTATACGGTATACACAGCGCAGCGTCTTTTTGGCTTTTTACTGTGTACTGCTTCATTCTTGGCCATCATTGCTTTAACTGTCGACAGATTCTTCGCTATTCATCTTCATCTCAGATACAAGGAACTTGTGACTTACAAGCGTGTTGTTGCTGTAGTAATTTCATTTTGGGTCGTCTGTCCATGTATTTCCTTATTTGCGTTGAACAGGATTTTAGAAAAAGTTCTGGCCATTATAACTGCAACTATTGGGGCAGTTTGTCTCATTACAACTAGATTAATTTACTGCAAGATATACTCAATCGTACGTCACCACACAAATCAGATTCACGCCTTGCAATTGAAAACACGTAGCACAGAATCAGAATGGAGAATTGGCAAATGCTGCGAGACTGAAAAAAACTGCACTTGCTACATTTTACGTTTATTTGGTGTTTGTGGTTTGTTTTTTGCCCTACCTTTGCGTTAAACTGGCTTATCAAATTTATGGTTAGTCTGAGTTGCGGTTGCATCTGCTTTATTATTCATCGACATTTCTTTTACTTAATTCATCTCTCAATCCTTTGGTCTACAGCTGGAAGTTGCGAAACATTCGACAAGCTGTGATCAGCGTACTTCGCAACACTTTTCAAGGTCAGTGAAACTCCATTCGAAGAACTTCGCAGATGAGACTATTACCCTTTGTCCCCTAGAAAAAAAATGGAAATTTCATATTACTAACATGAATTTTAACTGACAGATGAATAATGAATAATGATTTGGAGGTAGGTAGCACATTTACATAGTGGTTCTTCGTCTACAATTCCTGGTCGAGTTGGAATTTAGAAACGAGTACTCCGAGAAAAACCTCTCGGAGCAAAGGAAATAACAATAACAAACTAACCCACATTTGGCATCGACGGCGGGATTTGAACCTGGGTCACACTAATGGAAGGCGAGTGCTCTCACCACTGCTTCACCCTAAGCTCCCTAATCGTATTAGTCGCTGAATGATCGTTCTTGTGCGGTTCACAAACACCCGTCAGAACATTTCCGGGGCTATTGTTCGATCCTGGTCTTAGCAATCATGACGCCAACGCACCAACATTAGAAGATTTTCAGTCCTCTGGTTGACATCAACCAGCACGGATCAAATAAAAAAGCGGCCTGAAGAAAGCTAAAAGCAACAAAAGTAGACGGCATTGGCGCGTATATCGTCACCTACGAAACTGCGTGAATTGTGCCATTAAGGCTTACGAGCAAGTCCGGCAGTGCATTCCACTGCTTAGCTGAAAAGTAAGAAAAGGAGTTAAGACAATAGGTAGTTGTTTTAGGTTTACTTAGTGAAAGAATGTATTTGCCACGAAGATCATAGGAAGAGGACCGGAGTGAAAACATATTCTTCATATAAGTAGGGAAATGAGTGAAAAACAAACTCTTATATAACAGAATAAGGAAATTTTGAATGAGTTTGCGTTTGTTACACAACGAAGTAGAGCTGACTTTTGAGAGAAGAGTGTTGTATAGAGACAAGTAATCTCCAAGTATAAATCTAAGTATTCTTTTATGGCGCGTCATTTCAATCATCGCTCAAAATAAGCCGCATGCTCATCACAAGACTCATTTTCATACAAATGAAAGTTTTCAACGCACGACCAGTTTATAGCCTCACCATCGAAGTTTTCACTGAAGTATGCACTTGTTCCAAAGTTATCAATGCTTTCAAGCTATCCGATAGAATTCGTGGACCGCCCCGTTCCGGAAAAGCTTGACAACTCTGCGTCAACCTTTCTTAAGCTTTCTTCACAAAATAGAACATGGTGCTGTGACACGTAGCAATTCTTATCCCCAGTTTCCACGATGCAATTGCATCAAGTATCACAGAATGAGAATGAAGAAATGGCAAATACTGCAAGGCTGAAAAGAATTGAACTTGCTACATTTTACTTGTATGTCGTGTTTTTGGCTTGTGTTCTACCCCACCTTTGCGTCAGAACTGCTATTCGAATGCATGGTGAGTCTGTCTTGCGGACGCATCTGTTTCATTATTCAATAACACTTGTGTTTCTAAATTTATCCCTCAATCCTCTGATCTACTGCTGGAAGATGAGAAACATTCGGCAAGCTGTGATGAGTGTACTTCTTAATATCTTTCAAAGTCAGTAAAGGTACAAATCGAACCTCTTGGGCGATGAGGTTGCACTTTCTCCCTCAGAAAAAAAAAAATAGAAATTTTATATCGCGTATTAAATAAATAAATAAATAAATAAATAAATTGCAATTCAGAGGGAGCACATCCACGTAGTCCTTCCCCTACACTAATTCCTGGCCTAACTGGAGTTTGGAAATTAATGTTTGGTTCTTGAGAAAAGTGGAAAACCGGAGTATCTGGGGAAAAACACCTCGAAGTAAAGGAGAGAACAATAAGAAACTCAACCTGCATGGATGAACGATCTAGTGTTCAGAGACACCCATAAAAACGTTGCCGCGGCTGGAGTGTTCGATCCTCAACTTAGTGATCATGACGCCCGCGCACCAAGTAAAACTCGTATAGTTGGAGGATTTTAGTCCCTTGGATGACTTCAACCATTGCAGTTCAACAAGTAAGCCTAAAGCAACAAGAACAGTTGGCATTAGAGCATATGATATCGTCAGGTTAAACCACGTTAACCGTGGAACTGATTAACTGAAGGCTATCTGAATCTGATTACTACAAATCATATTCAAGAAAGTCAATTGCAATGTTGGCGATAAGATTTTCAATTATACTGAAGGTATCCCGGTCAGCTAACCCAAACATGTCCAGCTTTGGCTATAAAAACTGCTACTATACTTGAACTAGTATGTAGAGAAGAGTCGAAATGTAGAAAAGAGTTAGAAGAGTAGGAAGATTAAGATTGTTAGCAGAAGCCAAAGAAGAATAAAGGCCAAGATGTAAATCAGATTCCTGGCACCTCATCGTGTAGCGAGCGAGTTGCTCGAACATACCCCCACAGTTAACAACAGAGAAATAAACGAAAAATTAAGGAAAAATTGCTACTTTTTCACGATTCTTAATCTGTACTAAGAGATATTCTCCTCTTGCCTACAAATTGGTTTTCCTGTTAGCTGGTTGGAATTACCACGACCTATAACGTTATTAAGTTAATAAAAGCATAGTAAAATGGCGTTGAAAAATAGTTTCCAAGTTGATTGTAGTGTTGTAGTTAAAGGCATCTATTACTTTTGCAACATGATTACTTATCGAATTGATTCCACGTCATGATGGCTGGTTTCATAAAGCTGGGACTAAAAGGGATATTTGAAACATTCTGATCATTTGCAATTGATTAAACTTTGACGCATATGACAGCATGATTTGTCAAGTAACTACCTCCTGTATCTTTGTTTTAAAACCTTAGCTAGTAGGTTTTTTTTTTGGGGGGGGAGGGGGGGGGACAAGTTCCTTCTCTCAACTCGAAAGAGTCGTCGTAGGTTGTAGTTACTCAAAACATGTGCGTATTTTTCGCTTGTGTCTAGCTAACATGTAGGATTGGCCTCAGACCTAATAGTCCGCATTTCCTCTAAACCATAGTTAAACTCTTTTCTGTTGACTGTGTATTTACGATTCATTGAACGCCAGCTGCCGTTTTTACTTTGATATCGCGTCAGTAGTTTCATAGACTACGAGTAGTCCCCATTTTTCCTCAGGGATAGTAGTGCGAGCGAAACGCGAGCGCGCGTTAAAATCACCCCACGCGAGAAAGGCGAGACGCGGCGGTGAGAGAGAAAAGTGCTCATCGTTCGATCAGCGTTCGATCCTGGTCTTAGTAATCATGTGGCTCACGCACCAACTAAAACTCGTATAGTTAGAGGATTTTCAGTCCCCTGGATGACATCAACCATCGTATATCAAATCAGAAAGCTTGATTATAATCTGAAGAAAGCTAAAAGCAACCAGAATAGACGGCATTGGCGCATATAGCTAAATCAAAAAAAGGTTGCTTTTGTAATTGGCAATTGGTAATTGGGCATTGGGCTTATTGAACAATGCAATGATTTACTTGAGTGACCACCAAACAATAACTTCCCAATGCGCAATTCTCAATGCCCAAAGAAACCTTTATCGAATCAGCTATATATCGTCACTAAGAGTTAGGAAACCGCGTCAGTCGTGCCATTAAGAAGGTTATATCGTTACTAATCAGATTCAAGAAAGTCAAGAACTTGCATTGACAAGCACTTTTGAGGGCGCTCAGAAAGGCTTTAAGCTCATCAAGCCCTCTAAGAGTATCGCAAGTATTGATACTGATGGAGCTGTTGCCCGGTCTCCGCTGCTATTGTCGCGGAAGACTCAAAAGTACTCAGTTAAAAACCAATTGCCATCTCACAGATTTTCATTTGAACCAGTTAAATCAATGAGTTACCTCAGACTTTTTATTAGTATCATTATTATACAGCCATATCACAGATTTCCAAATTTAATCTGTCCATTATGCCACTGAGCTATGACATTTTAGAGTAAATTGTTATTATTTAAATTTATGTTTACTGTGTGAGCAGGGGCCATACAGCCATCTTACCGATTTCATTTTAATCAATTACATTAACGAGCTATTTTAGCTTTTTGATAAGCATAATTCAGTGTGACCGTGGGAGCAGGGGCTATACAGCCAGATCACAGTTTTTCAAATTAAATCATTTCATTATGTCACTGAGCTATGACCATTCAACCTACATTGTTATCATTTATATTCATGGTGACTGTGTGAGCAGGGGCCATACAGCCATCTTACCAATTAATTTTCACTTCTAATCATTTCAACCTGGTTTAACTTTACAGCTTTTAAACAGCTTAGTATCGATGTGGCATTAGTGAGGCCGATATTATAAGTTGACTGTGTGAGCTGACAGGCTATGCAGCCATTTCCTTTATTCTAGCTACAGTATATATTAGTAGCCCGGTTTCTGTTGGTTACATCAATCCACTTCTGTATCCAAGACTTATGTAGGCCATTTCATTCCCATCTAGTGTCCAGTGCTTAGTGAATAAGTGAAATTTATGATGGCTGTGTGAACAAGGGCCATACAGTTATCTCATTCATTTTCACTTTTAAACTGTTAGTTAACTTAAGTGATTCACACTTTTTGATCTGCGTCAGATACAATGACAGTGTGAGCAAGGGCCATACACCCCTCACAATCATTCAAACTTGTACATTTCTGTTGGTTACACTTATCCATTTCAGTAAGCAGGGCTTGGTAAACAGCCTTACCATTCTATTTCTATATGTTTACGTGTATAACCTCCACTGAACTAAACTGGTGGAACTAAGCTGTAAGTGACAGTGACAAAGAATGTATACAATGTCGTATTGCTATGAACACACATGAGCCGTTATGGCGCTAGTTGACTCTATTGTTGTAAGGTGTACACGGCTGGATGATTATAATACATGTATATTCATCTCAGCTCTCGCACATTAACATTTTTTATTTTTAATGTGGTATCTTTCTTACCTTTAACCCCCAGAGGTTTTGTGTGACTGCATTGGTTGGGGGATACGTTCCAAATTTTTCCCATGTGGTTTTTCGGGTTTTCGTATCAGGCAGCGCACACCTTTTTCCATTGTACATTTTGATTTGTAGGTACCAGTAGTTTCTGTTGGCGGTCGTCTTGCTTTGGCCTCGGGTGGGGCGGCCCTTTCACTCGTTCCTTGCTCTGGGCTGTGGCGGGTGTGCCCTCACCTTGTTGAACATCATAACAATACAAGCGCTTAGAAAAACGTCGTCGTTGCCTAAGACTTTGAGAACATTGCTTCTAAGCCTGGCTGTGTCTGATCTGGCTGTGGGCTTACTTGTCCAACCACCGTACGTTGCAACTCTTGTGATCAAAATAGACTAAAACACAAACAGCACCCCTTATCGTGTTGATGCAGTAAACAAAGCGTATGTAATCCAGAAAAAAATATTTGTCTTGTCTTCGCATTTTGGTGTTTTTGCATTATCTGTTGACAGATTCTTGGCAATCCATCTTCATCTTAGAGACCAGGAACTTGTAACTCACAAACGTGTTGTTGCTGTTGTGATCTCAGTCTGGGTGTTAAGCGCATCAATTTCCATCCCAAGTTGGTTTCAATATTTTTTTATTGGGGGAGTAGTCATTGTAGTTGTTTGTTTCATAACTACAGGATTGCTTTATTACAAGATATACGCAGCCGTGAGACACCAGACAAATCAGATTCACGTTCAAGTACAACAAGTACAACAAGCGACACAGAATGAAGATATGGCAAATGCCGCAAGGCTGAAAAAATCTTCACTGGCTACATTCTACATTTATTTGGTGTACTTAGCTTGCTATTTGCCAATGGCTTGTGTTGTTCTTGCCAAGATCAATAGTAAAACTGCCTTGTATTTCACATCGGCGACTCTTGTGTATCTTAATTCATCCCTCAATCCCTTGATCTACTGCTGGAAGATGAGACACATTCGACAAACTGTTATGAATATACTTCGAACTATTTTTGCGATTGGTCCGCATTAAAGAAACGATCTAACTCAGAATAACTTGGCCTTTTTCCCCTCTGGTGAAGATAAAAGCTTTGCAGCAATACAGTTGGGAAAATGACGCTTAATATAAAAGGGACCTGAAACCTCTTGTACTTTCTATTTGAAAGGCAAAGGGATAAATATATGATCGAGTATAAGTTCATGAGATTTTAGTTTGCTTTGGAATAATTAACAGATGACGGGAACTCTGAAATACTACTTAATATCAAAGTCAGAAAGNATATACGCAGCCGTGAGACACCAGACAAATCAGATTCACGTTCAAGTACAACAAGTACAACAAGCGACACAGAATGAAGATATGGCAAATGCCGCAAGGCTGAAAAAATCTTCACTGGCTACATTCTACATTTATTTGGTGTACTTAGCTTGCTATTTGCCAATGGCTTGTGTTGTTCTTGCCAAGATCAATAGTAAAACTGCCTTGTATTTCACATCGGCGACTCTTGTGTATCTTAATTCATCCCTCAATCCCTTGATCTACTGCTGGAAGATGAGACACATTCGACAAACTGTTATGAATATACTTCGAACTATTTTTGCGATTGGTCCGCATTAAAGAAACGATCTAACTCAGAATAACTTGGCCTTTTTCCCCTCTGGTGAAGATAAAAGCTTTGCAGCAATACAGTTGGGAAAATGACGCTTAATATAAAAGGGACCTGAAACCTCTTGTACTTTCTATTTGAAAGGCAAAGGGATAAATATATGATCGAGTATAAGTTCATGAGATTTTAGTTTGCTTTGGAATAATTAACAGATGACGGGAACTCTGAAATACTACTTAATATCAAAGTCAGAAAGAGGGTACGTGGTCTAGGACGAATGACGAATGACTTGATAAATAGAGGGCCGAGTTTTCCAAATTTGCGATGGTCAGAAAGATCTGTGTACAGGAAAGGGTCTTAAAAAGTTTACCGTAGATTATGTTAACCATGGTGCATGTAATAAAAAAAGAAGACTAACTAAAGAGGAGAGAGATCAGAATTTTATCAATAAGTCTTTCATACTGAATGCACCAAGAGTGGCGAAAAGATTTACCGATATAACAACAGCAACAACAACACAATAATAATGATAATAATAATAACAATAATAATGATAAGAAGAACAACACAGCCTATTTGTTGAGAAAGACGAAAACTAGTAGTTTATACTGTCGAGAATATATATTACAATACTTGTAATCAATTCATGTCAATAAAGTTCACGTGAAAAAGAACAAATGTTTTGAAGAATGGCAAAAATATACCATTTAATCAGTTTTTTTTTTTTAATTTGTCGAGTCCAGAAATTAAACTGTCTAATAAGATCACTCCATTTGAAAGTTTCAGACTGGGAGAGAAAGAGCTGGTTAAGAGGCGAGTCCAAAAAAGTAATTATAGTAACCAATGATGTACAAAAGAACAACGGCATTAACAACGTGCAAATAAATAAAAATACAAAATTGTAATCTTTCCACGATTCTTAAACTAAAATGCGTTTTCTCCTACACATTGTTTTTCCTGTTCGGTGGTTACGAGAGCTCTTTCATAATCATGAAAGTTTCCCCACAATTTCTGTTTCAAGGGAGGGAGGGAAGGAGGAAGGGAGGGAGGAAAAGTATGCTCTTGTCATATAGAAACTTTTAACCGCAAAGAAAAACACAGGACATGCACACTACATACACACTTAAGTTTATTTTTTTGGTCCACAATGTAAACTTCTGGGTCCACCTGAGTAAATGTACCAGCCAATAAAGTCTAATTTTTTTACTACGTACATTAAGCAAAAGCTATTCGAGTCAGGCAGTGTAAGGAGGTTAATTACTGTTACGTTTTATCCAAAAACCCATTTTACCGCTGCCTTACATATACTTGTATAAGGAAAACAGAAAAAAATAATTGTTTATTTACTACGCATTAAACTACGCGCAATGATGAATTTCTTTATTTAATATTAAACCGAAGAAAGTGGAACAAATAACGACCCACTGGTTTTATTAGCTACCTCAGATGAGTTTGATTACAACGAACTATTAACTTAATGAAGCACAAGTATATTGTTTTCTGATCAATTGTGACTGGTTAAACTTTGACACTCAAGACAGCATGATTTGTTAACTAACTACCTACTGTGTCTTTGTTTTAACACCCTAGCTAGTAAGCTTTTTTATGGATAATACGTTTCTTCTCTTAACTCCTCAGACTCGTCGTAAATCGTAGTTTATCAAAAGATGTGCCTATTTTTTGCTTGGGTCCAGGAAAAACGAAACGTTGGATTGGTCTCCGACCTGATAGTTGCCTTTTCCTCTAAACCATTGTTAAACTCTTTCTTAGCGATTCATTGCAACCAGCTGCCGTTTCTACTTTAATATTGCGTCAGTAGTTTCAATATCTTTCTTTTTGACTGACGAACTCCAACACTTAGAATGCTCAACCTATCACGTTTCGCTTAAAATGACAATGAATTCAAATTAATTTTGTGATGAGGAAGTCATATTCAAATTCTTAATTCCAGGCTCTGTTAAAAATATACAGTTTTAATTTCAAGCAAGTGAATATTTCAGATGTTATGAGAGCGACTTGGGGGACTTGTTTATACTGTTGTCGCAGACTCAACAGTTCGCACTTTAATCCAATTTTCATTGGAGAAAAAATAGTGGAACACTAAGAACTCTTGGGGATTGTTCAGTTAGTCTCGAGAATTTCAGTCCCATCCAAAACAAAAAAAAAGACACCTGCAGAACTCTTCAAAAGTTCTCTACAAAAACAGAAACTTAAGACTTAAAGCACTGAAACAGAAACTAAAAGTACTGTTAATGCAATGACGGAAACTAGAGGTTTGTATCCGACACTCGTCGCTAACTGCATCGTTAACGCTTTTTTGTCTTACACCGCCACCGTGTTGAACATTGTAACAACACAAGCGCTCAGAAAAACGTCGTCACTGGCAAGGCCTTTAAAGACACTGCTCCTTAGTCTGACGGTTTCGGATCTTGGTGTTGGCCTACTTGTTCAACCACTCTACATTGCACTACTCGTGGCGTTCATAACTGAACCAAATACTAGCAATAGTACTCATGTTACATCCCTATTTATTGTGTTCGTGGCCATCGCTAATTTATTAGGTTGCGCTTCGTTCTTTGGTGTTGTTGCTTTAGCCGTTGACAGATACTTAGCTATTCGTCTTCATCTCAGATACCAGGAACTTGTTACGCACAAGCGTGTTGTTGTTGCCGTGATCTTAATATGGGTGTTAAGTGCAGCTACTTTCTTCCTGTTTTTGATTTCGATAAACGTTCGTTTCATTTTTTCCACAACTACTGGAGCTTTAATATTTGCAACTGCAGGATTGCTTTATTGCAAGATATATGCAGCCGTACGACACCACACAAACCAGATCAACGCGCTGCAAGTACAACAAGTGGCACAGAATGGAGAAATGGCGATGGCAGCGAGGCAGAGAAAAACGGCAGTTGCTACATTCTTCGTGTATGTCGTGTTTTTAGCGTGTTATTTGCCACTGTCCAGTATTTTTATTACCTTAATGTTTAATCACTATGAATCTGTGTCATGGTGGCATTTGTTATTTTACTCTTTGACATTGGCGTTTCTCAATTCATCCCTGAATCCTCTGATCTACTGCTAGAAAATGAGAGATGTTCGCCGCGCTGTTATGGACATACTTCGAAATGCCATTTCACGATGCCTTCACTAATGGGGAAATGAGAACGCCAAACAACTGTCTACGTAAACCGAGTGAACAGCTGCAGAGTGGCCCAGAAATCATCCCGAGTCATCCTGAAAAAATATTTTGACACGTCGACTGGTAGAGCGTGGCATCTCTTATTTCTTTAGTATTATCCAGTCCAGTTTCACCCTTAAAGGTGTCAATGTATGTAGTTCTTGGTCTACCTCGATTTGTATGACAGTGTTGTGGTTCCAAGGGCAGCACTTTTGAAGTAGTATCTTCATTGCAGAGGCGGATCCAGGGGGAGGGTTGAGGGGGTTGCAACCCCCCCTTTGGGAAGTTTTCAAACTTGTCTGGCTATCCATGTCTATCCCTTTTTCATGCCAAAAATAATATTATAAGTTATAATGTTAGTTCCAGTCCAATCGCTCGTTACAAGAAGACTGTAGCTATTCCTCTTCTTGACTCCTTAATCATCCAAATGCAAGGTCGATTTTCTGACGAACATCGCCACGCCAGCCGTCTGCTCTATGTCGTGCCATCGATTATAGTAAATAAGGCACTGCATCAGGACGGTGAAGTAGAAGGCATGCTGTTCTGGGAGAAAGATATTCCATTTCTCAAATCCCTTGGAAATTAGGTACTAAGTAGATGGAAGACACTCTGGCAGTCAACAGATAGGGAGCTTCCAAACAACCTTATATAGCACCTGGTGTTTGCGATGAAGATGCTTTTCCAAATATCTGTCGCCTTCTGGTCATTGCCTACACCCTACCGATCACAAACGCAGAAGCTGAGCCGTCGGTTTCACTGATGATGGACGAAATGAATCAAGACCTGCTCTAGGTCAACAACGCCTGAAGAGCGATTCTCTGATCTCCCAGTAGATCGCCATATACTACTCCAAGAGATTCGAGGAAGACGAGATATGCCAGCAAGTCTTTGTAAAGGCTCATCCAAGAAGGCTCTTTCAAGCTTGTCTGTTTGACAAACAACTATCGTTGTTGCACTGTACTCTTAGTCCTTAATAACAGTGTCTCAAATTAGACAAATTTATACCTCTTCCATCAAAATGCCGAAAATCTATGTATTCAAACATTACCCCCCAACTCCCCCTCCTCCATTTCCTGGCCCAGGGACGTTTGCCTTGAACTCTCATACTTACAACACCCTCTTTGAAATAATCCTGGATCCGCCGCTGCATTGTAACGAGTACAATGGCCAGACGGCCAGAACATCACGAGAGGATTTCAAAATTTTTCCCTCTGAAAGTATGGTCTCGTATGATGTTGGCGCCCTATTTACCAGTGTCCCTGTGGATAAAGCGGTTCAACATATAAGGAATCGCCTTGAGAACGACGAGAGACTGGAAAATTGTACGCTTGCTCGAGTTCTGCCTCACGCTCACCTATTTTCTGTACAAGGGAAATTACTACTGACAAAGAGAAGGTGCGGCCACTAGGTCTCCAGTATCAGCAGTGGTTGCCAACCTTTACATGGAAGGGTTTGAGCAGGAGTGTCTTTCTACCTATCCTGGTTCCACTCCCAGGGTGTGGCGCCAAAATGTGAATGATACGTTTGTTATCATTATCACAGCTGAGATTGAACGTTTCGCTAGCTAGTCACATTAATCAAGTGGATCCATGCATCGAGTTCACTCAAGAAACTGAAAAAGAGAATAAGTTACCCTTTCAAATGCAGCAGGGCTTCAAACAGGCTACAAACGTTTACCAGATTTTGTTAACCATGGTGCATGCAATAAAAAAAAGACGACTAACTAAAGAGGAGAGAGATCAGAATTTTATCAATAAGTCTTTCATACTGAATGCACCAAGAGTGGCGAAAAGATTTACCGATATAACAACAGTAACAACAAGACAATAATAATGATAATAATAATAACAATAATAATGATAAGAAGAACAACACAGCCTATTTGTTGAGAAAGACGAAAACTAGTAGTTTATACTGTCGAGAATATATCTTACAATACTTGTAATTAATTCATATCAATAAAGTTCACGTGAAAAAGAACAAATGTTTTGAAGAATGGCAAAAATATACCATTTAATCAGGATTTTTTTTTTAATTTGTCGAGTCCAGAAATTAAACTGTCTAATAAGATCACTCCATTCGAAAGTTTCAGAGTGGGAGAGAAAGAGCTCCCCTGATCGTGACAGTGCAACCAATTGGAACACACGATCGATAGCTCGCTAACTGGCATCATAATTCTTTAAATACCATAATACAGAACCAGAAAGCAGGCGTCAATGATATAGCTCCAATATGAAGCAAAGAGCTTCTTGCAACGAGATTAGAAACTTAGAACCATAATTTTTGACGATACAATGAAGTATTAATCGCTTGATGTAACACGGTGAGGATGTCGCTTATGTGCTTCGGTAGAGTAAAAAGGCGATAGTTACTCCCTTTATGAGACTCATCCTTTTTATACAGAGAAAGGTTTAAAAATGACGTAAATATCAGCTCTTGAAATGGATATCGTCTAAAGTTATGAAGGTGACATCTCCAAACTGGCAGGAGCATTACCTTATTTACCCGGGCTGAAAGAGAGGCGAGGGAAGGAGGGGGGAGGGGGGGGTATGCGGGGTTGGTTAAGAGCGAGTCCAAAAAAGTAATTGTAGTAACCAATGATGTACAAAAGAACAACAGCATTAACAACGTTTAATGCTCTTAACCCATAACTCCTTAGATAAAAGCAAGTAACTAGACCAGAATTATTGTGGGGAAAAGGGGTAAGGGATGAAGTACTCCAAATATTTACAGCAGGTCACTTTTCTCTCCATATTGGTGTAACAGTCCGAAATCTACAAGGGGAGAGGTGATAATCCTCCCTAGGGGTGATAATCCCCCAGGATTGTTAAAGAGGATAATCCTCTGTAGAAGGTGATAATCCCCCAGGTTAGAGAGAGGTGATAATCCTCTCTAGGGGGTGATAATCCCCCAGGATAGTGAGAGGTGATAATTCTCTCTAGGGATTGATAATCCCCCAAGGTTGTGATTGGAGGTGATAATCTTCCTTGGGTACTGGAGAGGTGGAAGGACCTCTCTAGATGTCTAATTCCCCGGTTTAAGGAGTAAGAAGAGTCTATGGGGCAAAGCGTGACCTGTATGGGAGCACTTCATTCCGAACCCATGTTTATTAATTGCCAACAACTCTCTCGATACAGATATCATCACTAATTTAAGTTAGAATTGCGTTCCTGCTGCCCGTCAGGAAAAAACTCTCAATTATTTTTGAGGGAAACCTGAACCCTCCCGAAAGCTTAATAATCAAAATAAGGTCCAAAGTAACTAAGTGCACAAGCATGTTGGGATGTCTGGTAGAATGATTCCCCTCAGTAGAAACCTCACCTCTTTTCTGACATATCTTCTTGATAATTGCCAATTTATTCAAAGTGTAAACAACAAAGATCAGTAGTTCTTATGACTGGAAAACGTATAAGGAGCTTCTCAAATTTTAAGCAAGAGAAAAGACCTCATATATAAAACCTTAAGAAAACCAGCAGAGAGTATCAAGCAGTGATAAGGGAGGGTGGGATGGGATTTTGTTCCACGAAGAGAAGAATATGAAGTGCTATTTTGCTGAGCTAGGCGCGAAAATATAGGCATCAACTTTTCATGTGATAGCTGTCATCTAATTGGCTGAGCGAAACAATTAGTGTGACACGCGGGAAGTAACCCCTGAAAGGAAGTGAGCTGGTTCCATTACTGGTAAAGGCGGGTTTATGGTTATCACATTAACTTTAATTTATCCTGTTGTATAAATTAGCTGAAAATAAATAAAAATACAAAATTGTAATCTTTCCAGGATTCTTAAACTAAAATGTGTTTTCTCCGACACATTGTTTTTCCTGTTCGGTGGTTACGAGCGCTCTTTCATAATCATGAAAGTTCCCCCAACAATTTCTGTTTCAAGGAAGGGAGGGAAAGTATGCTCTTGTCATTTAGAAACTTTTAACCGCCAAGAAACACACAATACATACACACTTAAGTTTACAATGTAAATTTCTGGGTCCACCTGAGTAAATGTGACTTTGACACACAAGGCAGCATGATTTGTTAACTACCTACCTATTAACATCCTAGCTGGTAAGTTTTTTTAAATGGATAATAGGTTACTTCTCTCAACTCCTCAGACTCGTCGTAAATCGTAGTTTATCAAAAGATGTGCCTATTTTTTGCTTGGATCCAGCAAATACGTTGGATTGGTCTCCGAACTGATAGTTGGCTTTTCCTCTAAGCCATTGTTAAACTCTTTCTTAGCGATTCATTGCAACCAGCTGCCGTTTCTACTTTAATATTGCGTCAGTTGTTTCAATATCTTCGTTTCTGACTGACGAACTCCAACACTTTACAAAGCTCGACCTATCGTGTTTCGCTTAAAATGAAAATATATATTCATACTTGTGTGATGAGGACGTCATATTCAAATTCTAAAATCCGGGATCTGTTAAGACACATTTTTAATTTCAAACAAATGAATATATCGGATGCTATGAGCACAACTTGGGGACTTGTTGATATTGTTGTCGCTGAAGACTCAACAGTGCAGTCACTTTGACACTTGAATCCAACTCTATTGCCTTCGGAGGAAGAATAGTCTGTGGAACACTTAGAACTCTTAGGACTGTTCACCGGGGGGTCAGTCTCGAGAATTTCAGTCTCAACCAAAAACTGAGAAAACACTCACATAACCCTTCAAAAGTTCTCTACAAAAACAAAAACTCACTGCACTTAACGTTCTTCACAATGACGGAGGCTGAAGGTTTGTATCCGACACTTGTCGCTAACTCCGTCTTCAATGCTTTCTTGTCTTACACCGCCACCGTGTTGAACATTATAACAATACAAGCACTCAGAAAAGCTTCGTCGCTGGCAAGGCCTTTAAAAACACTGCTCCTTAGTCTGGCTGCTTCGGATCTTGGTGTTGGCTT